GATACAATTGTATGTTTTAAATTTTAGTCTTATATAAACATAAATGTAGGAGCCAGTGGCGCCCTTACTTACACTTGATTCCGTTTCTCATTTTTTATTAGTTTCGTACCCTTTGCAGTTTCATCAGTTTCGTCAGTTTCGTCACCTCGTCATTAGAGATATGAACCGAAAAAAAAACACCAATCGGTTAACTGAACCGAGCCGTTCGCAGTTAACCGATTACAACCGGTTATATCATGTTTTATTTCTAGCCAATCAGCATTAATCGTAATATATATGCCATAGCCGACGCTAATTGGCTGAGTATAATTACCTATTTGATTTAATAGTTGGTCAGGATTATCTAACAAATCTTTTGCCATGGCATAAATACGTGCCACTGGTGCTCCTAATAACCAGATCGGGTTGGGTTGGAATCATTTCAGAACCAAGACATGAGTTTCACAAATTTCAGATTTTGAATAAATGATTTATTTACATATTGCTTAATTAACCCGGGACATACATAATTAAATGGGTTGTGTTTCTTAACAGTTGATCTGTACAAACTTATTCAATAGAAGTATACACAAACAAAGATTTAAACCTCAATCGGTAAAGTATAATAATAAAATAAATTAGATTACAGATGTTTTCATAAATTCTGGGACACCTAAAAATTTTCTCGTTTCCCGGAATCTTTTCTATTTCGTCCGGTAAATCACCTAACTCTCCGGAAACTACATCGCTGTCTCCGGACTGAAGGTTCGAAAATAGCGATGTAGTTTCCAGAGAGCTAGGTAATTTACCGGACGAAACAGAAAAGATTCCGGGAAACGAGAAAATTTTTAGGTGTCCCGGAATTTATGAAAACAGCTGTAATAATGCATAATTTTATCTTGTTTTATTCTATTTATTATATATGATATTAAATTAACCGGTTAATCATAATTTTCAACCATTTAACCGTATATATCTAATTCAAATCGGTTAGCCGGTTAAACATTAATCGGTTCATATCTCTACTCGTCATTTGAGATTTTAGTTGACGAAAGACGAAACTAGGTTTCGCATTTCGTCAGCGCAAAACCTCAAGGTTTCGTCCAACACCTATACTCGTGACGTAATCTAGAGCTCTATTTGGCTCTAATAACTCAGACCAAGTCTTTCCACGCCTCTTTCGTGCCTACCACTATTAGGGTTCGATAGAGTTTGGTTGTTTAGTGTTGTGTTAGATAGTATTAGAGTGGGTTGATATCCATATTACACTTATTTTCTGATTCTGTATTTTGCAATATTTGATCTGACATATTAAATTTAGATCATGTACACAATTAGGGCTGTTAGTCAGTTTGGCTCTCTTAGGACTTAGCCAGTCTGGTTTTTGTAGATGGACCAAAAAAAACTATCGGTCCTAATATTGCATAAAATTATTGTAACAAACATATATAGCCTAATTTTTTATGATTTGTTGGGTTTAGATTATGTGCGCTATTATAATATACAGTACAAATGTAAGTATGGCCCCATGCAACTTGAATTCAGATAAGACTAAAATTTATAATCAATACTTTGTATATAAATTTCATAAAATCAAGTTATAAGAACCATAATCAGTGCGACTAAGAATTTAAAAATACATACATAGATTATTTCAAATATTTCGAGTAACAAATAATATTGACTGAATCGACTTGAATAAAAGATTGTTTATCGACCAAATCAGTAGGATAATAAACTAATAAAACTAATAAATGCATACATTATCGTTTTTTCGAATACTTTAATCAGCAAATTATTTCATACTTACCGGATAAATTTATAACCTAAATAAGTGACTTATAGACCATACTTACAGACTAATTTAATATAAATATAAAAAATGGCTTATTTTAATTACATTAACTATTATGATCATCGCCGACTAAATGAAATAAGGAATCAAATTAAAAGTGAAAAGGTACTATTTATTTTTTGCAAGAATAAGAGGTAAATTCCCGGTTATGTGAGGGTCCTTCGGGCCCTAATATAACCGGAGATCTACGACTTATTTCCCAGTGGAAAATAAGGGTGTTATTCTTCATTTTGTATGATGTATGTTGTCACGGGAAATTTTGTCTAGTATACTAATTTAATCCATAATTAGTATCTATTTTCATTACGTACCTCGTTGCTCTATAATTAGTAGATCATGACTACATTGAGGTTACCGGATTATGACTGTATTTCCGGGTAACGATTACTACATTTCAGTATAATGAATTCCCATTACCACAATCTTTGTAAATAGCCGTAGTTCTTACTTCATACTTGGTAATCGGGTGTTTTATATAAAAGGATCGTTGTGAAGGGATAGTTGGTTAATAATGAATTCTTAGATGATTTTGCTGTATCTTGTATATAATAAAATATATAACATTCGCTCTCACAACATAAAACTTACATTCTTTTAAGACCCTAATGTTCACGGCTTAAAGCTAAATTGGTAACGAAGTTCATTAAGTCTCTCCCAAGCCGTGACAAAGTACGGCGGATCATATAATTTGTAGTAATGCCTTATACAGACTTGATTTTTAACATATGAAATACCCCAATGGCACGTGATCACAGGTTAGTGATATTTTTTATGTATAAGAAATACCTTCGCTCAAATGATTGCCATATTTTATATGACAATAAATGCACTTTATTTAGCAAGAAGCTATTTCTCCACAAAAATGTCGAAGATATACCATAAAAATTATAAAGCATAATGAACTTAACAATATACTGCAAGATATTGTGACTAGCCACACTTTATTTGATCAATTCTTGTTGCAACTAGTATATTCACGGTTATTAATAAATGATTAAACTACCTTATTAGTAGAACAATATTAGGGATTGTACCTGAGTAGAACAATTTACCCGGATAATTGGATAAATTTTGTAACCTCGATAGAAATTTTCTACGTTCACTAAGTTGTATGCCTTTTCTTACAATAATTAGGCAAAATATTAGTACTCAACGAGATTAATTTGTAAATTTATTATAAATATAAGCCTAAAAAGTAATTTATAAATTTAGAGTATCCTGAATTTACAAATTATTTTGGCAGATCAAATATTATTGGACTTACTCTAATCAGCAATGTATGATAAAAAATTAAAGATGTGTGAGCATATAACATACTTTCAAGGCAAAGATCCCATATTAATTAAACAAACTCAACGTAACTGACTTTTCAAGCGTTGAGTTGATAAGTTGTATAAAGTTAAAAAACCGATTATATAAATACTATGTCATTAGAAAATTTTTTACTTTTATAAATGGCTCAACTAATTTTAACTTTGACAATTTGACAATAATTTTTTTTCTTGCCTTTTAGTTTTTGAACATCCAATATGGTTAAGTTTCTAAAATTTTCATTTCTTTAGTTCTTATCCTCCATGTTTACTTGATGACTGCTTTACCTAACATGTATTAGAAGAACGTAATTTAACTATCTTACTAGCCAATATATCAGGATATGAATTGGAAAAAAGAGACCTTCCTTTTGACCCCCTTAAAGATCGCAATCCTCATTTTCAAAAAAGGAACAGTCATTGTGACTCCACGTAATGTAGCTCTTAGCGTAATAGCTTTGGATTTATTTAAACATACTTGTAAAGAAACAGTATATGCTATTCAATTTGTTCTTTGTTGTGCATTATTCGATCAAAAAGTTATAATTGATACACCAATTCCATTTCGAGGTTGCTCGGCTATCAAAGGTTGGATCATTCAAACTTTGGTGATGAAGATTGGGATCCTCGCCTTACTGGTCCTTCGATTGCACGAATGCGTAGGCAATATATTAATCTGTTCAAACTCGTAGATTACCTTATTGCTTTCATTTTGATCCAATTCAAGAAAGTTATATTAGAGAAGGAGAAACATATAGCTTGAGAAGAACTTATTGTTTGCCTCGTAGTATTGGAGAGATTGTACGCCCATCTGTTCCTTCTACATCTGATCCTTCTACATATAGACGTCCTCCCTCTGATCCTTCTACATCAAATCATCGTCAACTTGAGGTACACACATCTGCATTCGCAGAATATTATGAATTAGTTGTACGTGATGGAGAATTTGATGTCGCCACGCAACGTGAAATTTTGAAACTATGGAATAAACTAAGGACTAATTATTCTAGTTTCAGACAGTTTTTTGAGACTGAGTTCCTTTGCAGCAGATTTAAATCAATCAATTGAAGTATATATTAAAAGTGAATATTATCCTGAAGAAGAAAATATTAATTTTATTTGTGAAGATAAGCCTAAAGATGATGATAATGATCATCATGATGAATTAAGGAAATTAATGAAGCAATTTTTATATCAAGAATCAAATAAATCAATATTTTAAGTGCTTAATTACATTAGTTTATATATTCTAATCATATTTATATATGAATTATTACTGTGTAGTTTGCAAATATTATAATTCAAGATTTATAATAAAATATTAAGAAAATTGTTATATAGTGCATCGTGTATTTGGTGCACCCTCTCTATATCTCAAAAATTTTACTAGGGTGACCCTGTTGTGATACTGACAAAAAATGGGCTGCCGTCAATAGAAATAAGGTAGATTGGCATTTTTTAAAAAATTAATACATACTTTCACAGCTCATATCTCAATAAATTTTGAGGCTATCTTAATGACTAATAATCAAAAGAAAGCTTACAATAAAATCATCAAGATAGCTTCAAAATTTATTGATATATAATCTGTGAAAGTAAGGTATTAATTTTTTTAAAAATATCAATCTATCTTATTTCTATTGACGGCAGCTCAAATGTATTTTACACAATTTTACTTTAAACCCTAACCCTAGCTCTAATTTTAGTGCTCTAATAGAGTGTTGTCAAAATGACAAATATGACTTTTTATGACAAATAATTGACACGTAAATTATAAAAACAATAAATCATATCAATAATATTTTTTTATGACAAAAATGACACATTTTTATGACATTAAATCCAATAATTTTGTCAAATTGTCAACACTGCTCTAATATGAATTAGAGAGGTACTAAATAATTTAGGCACTATATATATATTTTCAATCACTTTTTGGTTAATCTTTAGTATGGATAACACAATATAGAATATTATAAGATTATAATATGGGACCTCATAGACAGACATTCGTATGATTGGCAGTTTAAATCAATTTAATTTCACATTATTTATACAGTTTAAAGTACTTTTCAAAAACTACGAAGAATAAACAAAAAGAAGTATATAGAAAGTTTTATTAGGGTTGTAGGACTCCACTATTAAAAATGATCAAAATTCTTTTTTGTTTTAGAGAAGTTAGCATAATAGCGACTTCTTAAAGATAGATAAAATAGGTTATCACCATGCTAACTTCTCTAAAAGATAAAAGAATTTTGATTATTTTTAATAGTGGAGTCCTACAACGCTAATAAACCTTTCCATATACTTCTTTTTTGTTTATTATTTTAAAATGTACTTTAAACTGTATAAATAATATAAAATTAAATTGATTTAAACATCCAATCATACGAATGTCTGCCAATCATCTGATTTTGAGAAAATCGCAATTTAAAATTGTCAAGTGATCAACACAAATTTCTCAACTTTACAATATCTAGAAGTAAAAAAAAAAGGTCTTCGCATCGTCACTTATTAAAATTTTTACTATATTTTTTTGATAAATGTATACAAATTTTATTTTAATTTTGTTCATCATTATTACTACGCTATTACCTCAATATTGCTCTATGGCTTTACAATTTATTTATTTGCAGTATTTATTATTGTTATTTATAAAGTTTCACTACCAAACTACTTAAATTTCTTGCAAATTTCAGTTTAAATAAATTAAATTGAGTCAACTTTGGCTTTCAATTTTTATTAATTGAAGTTGAATATGAATAAAAATATCAATAGGATATATAATTTAATTACTATCTGGAAACATATATACGATTGAGTTAGTTGCATTCAAATTATCATGATTTCTATCATGAGTTTCTGCAAAAATCTTCTTCCAAAACCTATTCGACATCTTACTAGCACATAGAATATGTTAAGATCTAGTTAATTTACTTCAAATTATTGCAATACTTTCGTGAGTTACTGTAAATATTCTCGTAAAAACTTATATTCTGGTGGTATAATAGAATTATCATAATTTATACCGTAAGTTACTGTAAAGTATTCAGTTACAGAATTTACTAATATAGTACACAGTTATTAATATCATGATTGAATCAGTTTGTATTGAAATTATCATGTTTTTCACCATTAATTGTGGTAAATATCTTGTTATAAACTTACTTGTATTCCAGTGATCACATCAAGTGGTCAAAGTCGAGTGATTTCTACCATGGGTTATAGTGAAAAATTCTGCCTCAGAATTTGCTCATTAATGCGGTACATGCAGTGTTTGAGATTGAGTTAACTCGTATTAATTCATATTATTGGAAAAAACTATGCAGAACTTACTTGATATCCTGATAATTATAATATATGCATTCGAATTTTCGTGGTTTCTATGTGATTAAGATTATGTTAGTTCATATTAAATCATTATACATTCTATAAAAAAATCCTATTAAAAAACTTATCTCAATTTTGACAACCACAATACGCAGTTAAAATTAAAGTAGTATTGTATTTAAGATAGAGTTACATAGCTTGCATTGGAACTATCATGATTTATCTGTATTGAACTAGTTAGCATCAGAATGCATCAAAATTTCCATGATCTTTACTGTAAAAAATTCTGTTACAAAGCTTACTCGCCATTTAAACAACCTCAAATATGGATAAGATTTAGTTTTTCTCCAAAATTATTATGATTTCAATATGATTAATGTCAGCTAGTTTTCATTGAAATTATCACAAATTCTGTGTAGGCAATTTTGTTTTGGTTTGTATTGGAATTATATGAGTTTCTAAAGAAAATTTTGTTACAAAGCTTGCTCACTGTTTTGGCAACCATGGTATATGTGGTTAAGTTAGTTAACATTGAAATTATTTTGATTTCTGTGTATTAAAGTTTAGTAGTTGTATTTAAATTGCAGTACTTCTATTATAATAATTCTCTACAAAACTTACTTGCTATTCTAGTCACCAAGTGTGTGGTAATTTAGCTTGCATCAGAATTCTTATTATAAAAATTCTATTACTTACTATTCTGTTGACTACAGTATGTGATTGAGTTAGTTTGCATTGGGTTATTATAAGTTACTATAATAAGTTCTGTTACAAAACTTACTCTAATGTATACATATTGTAATTAAAGTAGTTTTAAACTTATTATGATTTCTATTGAAAGATTTTTACAGAACTTGCTTGTTATCCTGATAACTATAATTGTGATTAAAATTGAGTTAGTTTTTATTACAAATTCTTATGTAATTAAGGTTAAGTTAGTTGCATTAGAATTATGATTCTAAAACTCTATTACAGAACTCATCTGCTATTTCAATAACTACAATATACAGTTAAAATTGAGCTAGTGTACTATCCCGAAATTAAACACTATCCCTTAAACAGTAAGCAATTGCAGGCAAATTTGTCTGCAATTTTTTATCTAACAATATTCTACATAAAATTTTATAAGATTTAAATTTTATTTATTCAAATTTTTATTGTGACTAACTGATCAACGATGCAGATAGTCCAAACCTTTATTTTCGCACTTTTATATAAAATAACTTAATATATATATTTTTGCAAATTGGCAATTTTAAATAAAAACCCAATTTTTTAAAATATTAATATTTTCTTATTGCACCCTGACTATAACTATAAGAAACCTTAATAAAAAATGTAAAATTCAAGCTAAAATATAATTCTTATAGTTCAATTTTACGATTTAAAAATAGTTATTTGATTTTATATAGGAATCAAAAAGCAAAATTTTTTAGGATTTCGTGTTCTTTTTTTAATGTTTTTTAATTTTTTTTAATTTTTTTTTTTTTAATTTTTTTTTATGTTTTTTTTATTTTCTTTTATTTTCAGTTTATTTTTATTTATTTATTTGTTTGTTTGTTTTATTTATTTTTTTTAAAATAATGAATCGTTGGCGGATATAGTTATTGAATTCAATATAAATTGGAAATATAACCTGTGTGAGTTTGTGTGATTTGCAGATACTGGCCAATTTTTATATCTATTTGGAACCTACAGTTATGAGGTCATATTTTTGATTGGTCTGATTGCGATAAGAATTTTTTTTGTGTGGTATTAATTTTTTTTTCTTTATATGTATGGTAGTCTTTAAAGCAATCGCTTCTATGCTTGCTGCAACATAAGAGTACATCACATTTTATTCAGTAAATATGAGATTGCAGCGGATTTTTAGAAGCTTTTTCATTATTTTTTTGGCTATATATCTGCACTATACACAGCTACTTCTTTCTTTTTTCCATTTAGGTAAATGCCCTTCCAGAGATAATCTTATTAAGGAAAGTTTAGAGTTATTTGTTATGTACTGTATTCTTGATAAGTCAGTATCAATATTTTTAGCTAACTTTTCAACTTGACTTTATGTATTTGCTTTGTTTGTATCATTTTTTCCATACCTGCATTAATTAGATCCTATAATTACTGAATTCAGAAGTTTTTGTGACTAATATTTTTATCACTTTTTTTAAAAATTAAATAGGAATTGATGATAAAAGTGTCCAATAGCCAATAAAACAAGGGCATCTGACTAGCAATTGAATACCATAATATCTATAAAGCTGGTCGGCTAAATCTACCTCACCTATATAATAATTATAGTCATCAATTATACAAGAAATCGGTAAGGCTTTTTTACTAGCAGTTCCAAAAATTGCCCATACTTTTGCCGCATTAGTACTAGTTTCTTGAGGTTGACATCAAATTCTTTTAATCCTGTTTTTATTTTCAATTATTTTATGAACTGTACTTAGCATGGTGACTAGCCCATTGTCCATCCATAAAACAGCTAAAATATCACCAATGACTACTCCAGATAATGTATTCCAATCTAGTTTTTTATTTACTTTAAGGATTTTTAGAAATTTTGCACTATTCGTTTGAACTGTTTCACATGCACCAAAATTATTATCATGTAAATGTTGATAAAGATTAATAGATAAAAAAAGTTATTCTTATATATTTTAAAGGTTTTATTTAAAGGTAATTGGGAAACAAGATGATAAACCTCATTTCTGACTTTGTTTAAGTTTGAAATTTGTTTT